AAGCGGAAGCCATATTGCTTGTCTGAAAGCAGATCATGGGATGTGAGGTGGTTAACCACTTCGGCATTGATTAGGGCTTCGAAGACTTTGCCGAAGAGGGGTAGGAGACAAATAGGACGGTAGTTAGAAGGGTCAGAGGGGGTCGCCAGAGTTCTTGAAGACAGGAACAATCGAAGAGGACTTCCAGCAGTCAGGAAAACAAGATTCCTTGAGGCAGTAGTTATATAGATTAGAGAGGGCGGGCGCTAGTTCAAGCGCGCATTTCTTCAAGACAATGGCTGGTATCCCATCTCCACCACTAGCCTTGTTGGGGTGTAAATTGGAGATAATGCCCAATACCAAAGACGGGGTTATGTGTAACCCACTCAATAGGGCCTCAGTTCTAAGAGGGAAATCGGGTATGGGTACACCAGAAGAGTCGAGCGTTGAGTTGCATGAAAATTTCCGAGCAAAGCATTCAGCCTTGTCGGCAGAGGAGGTTAGGACTTTGAACTGGTTGAACAAAGGAGGTATAGAGGGTTTGCAATTGTTCAATACGTTCTTGCAGAGACGCCAATAATCTTTGGAACCAAATTTGTGAGATGCAATACGCTCCTTCATCCGAGCAGCAAATAGTGACTTAGCATCGTTGAGGACACGCTTACACTCGTTACGGGCGGAGGCAAAGAGACGTTTATTGCAGTCCGACATGTCGCTACGAAATAGGTGAAAGAAGTGGTTCCTATGGACAATGGTGGCTGAGCAACAAGCGGAGAACCAAGGAGAGGAGCGCGACTTGACCCTACATTTCCTTGAGGGGATGAAAGCGTCGATTCCAGCTTTAACCCAGGATGAGACCTCAAAAGCACATTCTTGGACGGGGAGCGTAAAGACAACATCCCAGGGAACATCGCGGAGGAAATCACCGAACCCATCCAAGTCAACTCGTTGATATATATATATATATATATATATATATATATATATATATATATATATATATATATACAATCAACGCGCATGTACGAAATTAAAAACATGAAATATCGACAATTTACCAATCGCTCTCTCTCTCTCTCTCTCTCTCTCTATATATATATATATATATATATATATATATATATATATATATATATATACACACATGAAATATCGACAATTTACCAATCGCACTATATATATATATATATATATATATATATATATATATATATATATATATATATATACAGAGTGCAATTGGTAAATTGTCGATATTTAACGTTTTAATTTCGCACATGCGCGTTGATTGTTTTGATTTTGCCGGCTGGACATTATAGTAGGGTCAGTTGGGCACCGTCTATGAAAAAAAAACAAAAACAAAAAACAAACAGTAATGACTCAATTCACTCCGCCAGAAATTTGCAAACGGCATGCTGTACTGCTTAGCATTCGCGTCGCAAGCTGGAGTACGAACATTTCAGAATGTTTGCGCGTCAATCTGAAGACTGTGCAGAGGATTCAGAACGAATTGGATGATTCTAATCGTGATTACGAAGTTGTTTGGAATGATCACTAGTGATGACGCCCTTAGGATTTCAGTCTAAATACCGAGGCCTACATCAAGTGCCTTGACAAGCCAGTGCTGCACTGGGTCAAGATGTCTGGCAATATGACTCTGCAATGTCACTCACGCGGCTGAAATTGTCACGGCTGTCAGAAATTTCTGTGACCACATCAGCCCTTACATCTGACCACCTAACTTGTCTGATTCAAACCCTTTTTCATGATTATGTGTGGAGCCCATTTGAGCGAGATACAAAAAAATCTTGTAACACCGAAGATGAACAGAATGCAGGGATTATGACAGCATTCATCAAATTAATGAAGGAAATCGTCAAGAAGAGTTGCAGGAGATTCCGAAGTCGTCTAGAGGTCGTGGTCGAATCCAATGCCGATTTTATTGAATAAATTTATTTTTTAATATTTCAAGATATTTTTTTTTTTTGTAATTTTGGTAAATATATCCGTTAAAATGAGATAGCAGTATTAATTTTTTTTTTTTTTGCGTAATTTAAACGACAATTTATCTATCGCACGCTGTACATGTATGTGTATGTGCATGTATATATATATATATATATATATATATATATATATATACTGGGTTTAACAGCAGAATTGTCCAAATCTTGTAACAGCAAAATTATTCAATTGTTAGATATTAAGAATTGAACCGTTGTATCTTAGAAATGATTAAAGATATCTAACTGGAATTCTCCGAAGTTTTTATAACACTACTGGTCTCTACTTTGAGCAACAAGTATAATTACTCTCCAAGCTTAACAGAAGAATCGTAATGAAATCGATCATAAACAAAAATGACATATTCATCATTAATTAATCATAGCTAAGGATCGGAAGCTCATGAAGGATTGAAATAAAGTTCAAATGGAATCTTAGTTACCGGTATTTAGTTCCAATTGATAAAAAACAATCCTGGCACAAATCCAAACTGTTAGGCATCAAGAGTTGCCCGCCCTTTGGTAATGACATTCTCAAAACTCTTACTGAATGCACCACTAGCTTTCTTAATTCTTCATCGCATATCAAATTGGTTTGGTTAAGTTTATTGTGCTTTACGGCATATCAACCTCAATGGGTTATTTAATGCCGACAAGATTTTTAGGTTCTTATGAATAGAATATATATTCTTTGGAAGAAATCAGTTTGTAGATCAGGATTGGGGTTTATTTTGTTTTACGGCATATCAACCTCAATGGGTTATTTAATGCGGACAAGATTTTTAGGATAGGTTCTTATGAATAGAATATGTATTCTTTGGAAGAAATCAGTTCGTAGATCAGGATTTGAGTTTATTTTGTTTTGCGGCATATCAACCTCAATGGGTTATTTAATGCGGACAAGATTTTTAGGATAGGTTCTTATGAATAGAATATGTATTCTTTGGAAGAAATCAGTTTGTAGATCAGGGTTTGTGTTTATTTTGTTTTGCGGCATATCAACCTCAATGGGTTATTTAATGCGGACAAGATTTTTAGGATTGGTTCTTATGAA